CGACGTGTCCGAGGGGACCGTGGCCGACGGGAGGCCCGCCTCGCCGCGCCTCGCCGTGGACAGGGAGTCGCTGGCGCGGGCCTTCGAGGGCATGCAGGAGGAGAAGACGAGGGAGAAGCGCACGCCGGGGGGCCGGCGATGGCTCAAGCTGGGCCCCACCACGGTGCAAGTTGGGCACCCCCTGGCAAGCCCGCGGCGCAAGGCACTCGTACAGGCCAGTGGAGGGGAGCGAGGTGATGTGACGTACGTCACGGCATTCTCCGTAGAGAGAGGGGACGCGTGCGACTCACCTCTGCCGTCATCGGGGCCCCACAAGAGGGAGTTGCGCATTTGACCTGAGTTCCCTTCCTGGCTGCATTCCGTCCGCTCCCTCTGCCTCCAACCGTCGTGCCCCCCTCTCCACGCATTCGCAGCGATTCTTCTGTATGATAGCCACTGTGCTTCCCGCGTAGGTTCTGCTCGCTGCATTAATGAGCGGAGCGGGTTGCGAAGTTTATACATCCTGCGGCGCAGTTCCCTGAGAGGCCGTCTTCTCATACCGCCAAACGGACTTCTGCCAGCACCGTTGGCCGCCAGCGCTGCCGCCATCGCTGAGTGTGCACGCTCGCCTGCGACTGCCGCAGCCTCGCTGTAGAGTAAGCGGTCGCCGCCGCCGCCACGCACCTCTGAGCATACGTCTTTTGTCATGGCTGGGTATGGCAAGAAAGAGTCACTCTGGACACAGTCGGGAGGAGGAGAGAAGGGCCACTTCGGATTCAGGAGGGGCTCTGGTCTTCTGGCCGTTCCTCTGATTGATTCATGTCGGGGAACACCTGCGGGGACGCCGCTCCTGGGGGCTATAGACAAAATCCCCTCCGCTGCAGCGACCATAATGTCAGTGCTGACCTTTCTGGGCTCCCTTTCCTTGCCGCCTCCCTGTCCTCCCCCTCCTCCCCTTTCCCCTCCCTCCTCCCTCTCCTTTCCCCCCTCCCTTCTCCGCCTCGTTTGCCTCCCTCCTTGTCCTCACCAGCAGGTCAGCCCCCTCCCCCCCTCCTTCCCGTCCTCCTCGCGTTCCTCCTCCCCTTCCTCCCAACACGTCGGTCCCCTCCTCCCTTTCCCCCCCCCCTCCCCCCTTCCGCCCTCCGAGCTCGCGCACGTGCAGGGAAAAGGGGCCCGCGAGGTGGCGCCTCTGGGCGCGGCGGGGCGTACCTTGTCGTGTGGGCTCGGGTACCGCGGAAGCCCGTGCCACGAAACACCCCGCTTGCCTCCAGGGGCCGCCCTGGGCGCCTTGGGCTTCGGTGGCTTTGCCGTGGAGAGCGTGACGCTGCCGCACCAAGAGTCGAGTGGACGTCCTGGGGGCTCAGGGCTGGGCTTCTGGTGGACACTCGATCCAGAGGCTCGAGTGTCCCAGCGCGGCCACGGCTTCGGCCCAGCGGCCCTGAACAGCACCGCGGCCCTTTTTCCCCCCTCTTTCGGGAGGGGAAAAGCACACAGACACAAGTCATCGTCGATTCCCAGGAGCAGATGGGAAGATGTGGGACGCGGGGGGGGCGGGAGACGAAGCTCCAGAAAGTCTGGGAACAGATGCGGAATCCTGGGATGTGTGTGTGTGTGTGTGTGCGCGTGCGTGCGTGCGTGCGTGCGTGCGTGCGTGCGTGCGTGCGTGCGTGCGTGTGTGTCTGGTCGTGTGTCCCTGGGCCCCTTCACTCCTGCCACCTCTCCCCGTCCTTCGAGGAGCACCTACGTGCGTGACCACGAACGTTCCGAGGCCTGCGCGGATCCGAGAAATCCGTTCGGGCCCCTAACGTGCATGTTGATGCAGGCGTCGTTCCTCAACGTGTCTCTGCAGATTCCTCGTTCAGTTCGTCCTCGGCTTGCCGAGCCCCCGACGTAATCCCATCCTCTTCGAGGTCTCAGCTGAACGTGATTTTCGGCCGGAGCCTCATCGGCTGCACGACGGCAGCGCTGATCCTGAACTTGGCGGGCCGTGGGTATTTATGTGGGGTGTGTGTGTGTATGGTTATGTTTTTATCGATGCGTCGCTGTGCATCAACGTCTTACCGATGTTGGCTTTTGCACGTTCAGGGGGGCTTCTCTTGCGCTCTCTCGTTCACTGTCTCCTGTCTCTGTCTTTCTATGTCCATCGGTGTTCCATGAAGCCATCATTCCTTTTTTATTCCTTTCCTTCCGTGAGTTCGCGCGCTCCTTTGTATGTGTGTGTGTCTATGCATTTGTATGCACATGAATATATCTATACGACCACCCTGCAGGTGATAAGGAGGTTTGGGGGGGAGGGGGGCCAGCACTGGGCAACAGTGGTGATTGTTCCGTTGCCGCTCGCTCTTGGGACCATCGATCCCATTTTCGATCTCACTCGATCGATCTCACTATCGATCTCACTCGATCGATGTCACTGTCGATCTCACTCTGGATCTCGCTATCGACCCCACTATTAATCTCCCTATCGATATCAGTCGATCTCACAATCGATATCACTATTCATCTCACGATCGATCTCACTATCGATCTCACGAGCGATCTCACTATCGGTCTCACTATCGATCTCACTATCGATCTCACAATCGATTTCGTCATCGGTCTCCTTATCGTGTTCGCACCAGCGGGACACCGGGACACCGGCGGGACACCGGCTGGACACCGCGGGCCACCGCTTGCCGGAGGGAGAATCATTTGGTCCGGCCGCGCCTCAGCCACAGGAGACTTTCCCCTCGCCCGCCCACGCAGTTTCGCCTCGCACGCACGCACGGCACACACGAAGACGAAACCGAAACCGATTTCCCGGAGGGGGGCTCTCCGTTCCATGTCGATCTCACCCCCAAACATGTATCGCTCTGTCTTATGACACCATTTCATATTTGCCCTTCGCTCACCATGATGCCTGCATGCGTTGCAGATGTCAACATGCATTCCCATACCTATACGACCGCCCTGCGGGCGATAAGGAGGTTGGGGGAGATTGAGATCA